AGATGTTTCACTGTAATGAATTAACCATGAAGATAATGAATACTAGTACTCATAATAGACTTTCACAGATCCTAATCCTAACAAGACAACAACTACCCGGGTCCAATATAAGGTTGCAAATTGAGGGCCAGATTCTTTTCAGCAGGCACATTGACCACATTTTCAGTAACATCAATGAGATGCTCAATCACTCTGTACTGCTTTGGATCATTATTCTCCCTTAACCGGTGCAGTTCAAACAGCAGCTTATCTTTCTCTTCTTGGAGGGCCTCATGGATTTGCAAATCAGGATACCTACGAGACAGTGACTTCTCCAACACACTCGCATCTTTCTTGGAACGATCGGGTTTGAGAATGACGTTTTGGGCCTCTACATCCTCTTCATCGAGGGTATACTCCTTATGATCCTCTTCAATTGCCTCCAAGCTCTCTTTTACATTCTGTTATATGCTCACATGTTATTTGTATAGAAATTTCCACCGCTAATGGTCTAATAGCTCTGGGCCGCAGGAATAAAACGATAGTTGGCTTCGATGCACATTTTTCCTCCCTTAATTGAAAGGAGGAATGATATCCTATGGTACGATATAAGTACAACTTAGCTGAATATTCAAGAATCAAAGTCGATTCTCCTGAATTCTTGGCCACTAAATATTCGCTATAAGAAAGAATGCACTTTTTTTTTGGCACAGTTAAATAAGTAGGCATACCTGAAGCCTAAACTCGTGGACAAGAGAAATCAAAGGAACGAGCTTGAGGTAACGATCAATCTCGTCTTGCACTTGGCGGAACTGATAGACAACGTTCCACCCCAATGAAATCATGTACAGATAGCTCTTATCTCTGCAACTCTCCACCAAGTCGAGGGCTTTTTTCAGGGCTTCCTCAAGCTGTGCCAATGGCTCAGCAGTGGCCGCCAGTTTCATCAGGTCCGTAGATTTGAGCTTCTCCAGCAAGTTTCCAATCATCCTCACATGATCTGCTAGCTGCTGGCAGTTGTTCTTGTGCGTTACAGCGTTTCTGGCCGCGGTTGTTATGAGGTTTATCAAGCCCATCGCGTCTGCTCTTGTTGCCCTTCCAGTGCCCTCCATGTTAATATATTACTATAAGAATCTGGTACCGAAACTGGAAATGTGTGTGGCCATTTTACTTCCTTCTTTATAAGAACACTGGTACATCATAGTTGAAGCGTTTAATTTTTTAGTTTTTCTTCGCATCATAGGATGTTTGCACTTTGCACATACCTTTAGGCTGTGATTAGTGAGGGTAATGCGTGATTGCTTTTGCTGGTCTAACTTCATGATCGCACGACTTTGGCTGCTGTCGTGGTACATTAGGATTACCCTTTTGCCCTCTATTGCTTTGTTTACTGACTCATTTGTCTAACAGGCTCGAGAAGGCGACTGCGCTAAGCTTTTGGTTACGCGGTCTCTTAAGAAGAGGAAAGTGCGACGCTACTTAGCACAAGAAGGGATAATTGCATAAACCTCCCCAGAGGTTTTTTTATAATATCACACAGTTTTCTTGAAGTTTTAAAAATCTCACTTACCTCCCTTAAATTGACCTTTATTGTAACATTTTAGCTCCTTTGGAAGAAATACACGAAAGATACAACTTTTATTCCAATAATACCCTTATGTTATCCTACTTAGGAAATTTATTACAACAATAATAAAATAAGGTTAAATTTTTATAAGGTGTAAATTTCTTGACGTAAATTATTTATTTTAGCTGTATTGAAACAAAAAAAAATTACACCTTGAAAAATTCACACGTACGAAGAAATTACGTTAGGCCCCGTTTGGATTGCATTTTCTGTCATTTTTTATTGAAAAATTACTGTAGCGATTTGATGTATGTGAGGGAAAAAGGTAATGGCAATCCAAACAGAGCCTTAGTTTTCTATATTCCCTAATAAACTACACCATGAATTAAACATATTTTTCCAACAAATATCTTGACTTCCTTAATTTAAAACTTAATTGTTCAAGAAAGTTTTTAAGGTATTAATTAATCAACAAAATCCTCTTAAGTGGTTGGCTTTGATTAGATTCAATTTATCCATATCCTTTGCTACTCCCCACTACAATCCCAATGTAAAGAAATATGGACCATTATTAGCTAGCAATTTTTATTTAATTTATGCTTTTCAGTTTTAAAATTTCATTTTATATTAGCATTTTGGTAAAATAGTTATTAAGAACAAGGGCAATGTTGTCAAATTGTGACATTTGATAGAAACATTTAGTCTTGTAAAGTTAATAAAGGAGGTAAGTAGGACTTTAAAAATTTTAGAAGAGTTGAGTGATATTATAACAAATTTTAGGGAAGGTTTCTGAAATTATCCCACATAAGAATTAAGAAGAGAGAAGCATTCTGCTAAACTTTTGACGGCTTGAATCTACAAGGGGTATTGTGTACCTAATATACTCTACATGGTGTTGTATTAACAAAGACAGCTTAATTTATTCGAGATCCGTATGCAGCCTTACTCGAAGGAACACTGATGTTAATGACAGACACGTGCAGGACATCGAAATTGTTACCATATCAATGGGAAAATGAAGCGCAAAGTTCTTAAACTTGGGGTCATGAATTGGGAGCTTTTTATATTTTGTTATATAAAAAACATTAATCATCCTGACACCAGATCGTCGATATGTCCGAGTGGTTAAGGAGACAGACTCGAAATCTGTTGGGCTCTGCCTGCGCAGGTTCGAATCCTGCTGTCGACGAGTTTAATACATTTTCCTCCACCCACCGTCAGCTGCATGACACCAACTGGCGAAATACTTTGCAAGTTCTTTTTGCCAAATTCTATCTAAAAATTATTAATATTACTTTTTCAGTTTTCACGTGATTTGGAAAAAGAGACTCTTTGCAGTTGACTTTTATAAACGAATTTCTACATAAAACAGTTACTCTTTTTTACCAAAGCTGAGGAAACTCAGACTTTTGTGTTTATAAACCCTGAATTCCCGAACAATCTTCAAAAGTCGACAACTTTTGAAGACGTTCAGGGGACTTATATACACTAAACCCAACCCCCCCTTTTCCGATATGGGATAGAAAACCCCACAGGATGCCCTGCTGCTAAGAAGTAAAGACCCCCCAAACCCCCTGAGAATGAGTTACATAAAACAGTTACTCGAAGTAGATGCTTTTTGGCAAATTGTAGCCTTATGTGGCATTTTTTAGAAGCCGAAAAGTTCAGTAAAATAGAACAGTTAGAAGAAGAGTGGATCCAAACAGAACCAACACTCATTGTTATGTATAACTGGCTTCCTGCCTTTGATAAACCCCACGACATTGCCAACATACAAAAGTATAGCACTTGGGCTTGGGGGATTAAAAGAAAAGTAGTGATTCTGGTCATCAGACCGAGTTAAAAGGATCAATGGCTCCCAGTCTTGAGAAAAGATTGTCAAATTGAAGAGATAAGGATTAAAGGGGAATTGGATAAAGCAAAAAACTCGATTCAGAAAACTGTGGCGACTAATCTAATTCAGGTATTTGACTGCTTATACCTGGTGAAATAGAGTGTATCAATTAAATCATCTAAAGCCGAGTGATCGTGTTGGCCTGTTGGTCATGAATATTTAGTAACTCTCCATTCTTATACCTGAAATGGAATAGAAAAAGAAAATAAGAAATGCATACGTGTCTTTATAACATCTATATCTATATGTATTGCAGAGAGGGTTTTTAGCATAGATCCTCTCAATATCTTTCAAACTTTTCTTTTTTTTTTTTCTAGAATTTTGTATTTATTTTAATACATAAAATCTAATTAAAAACTGTAAAATAGTGGGTTATAACTAATTTTATCACTAGTGTAGGAATGTTACTTAGGATTAGTACATTACTAAAATTTGATGAGTACTTACTATTTTGTCTCTAATTTTCACGTTTTCTTACTCTGAATTTTAATAAGCTATTCTCTAATTGTTTCTTTTCTTTTTTACAAACAAATGAACAGAAATATTTCCTTGACATTTTTGAGCAAAATTTTTGAGAACATTTTTCGATGACCTTTGGATTTGTCGAATTAGTGTTTTAATTTCGAATGCATCACAAAAAAGGTATTGTTGCCTCCTCCAAAGTCATCGAAAGGTCATCTAAAGTCCAATAATCCCTGTGTTATTGGGATAATATTAGAAACCTCCTCTAAATTTTTTTAAATATTATTTAGCACCCTTGAAGTTTTAAATATATGACTTAACTGCCTTACATTTATTTATTTGGCCAAATATATTTGCTGACATCACCATTACAATTTCCAATACACCTTTTTATCTTCCCAATTACCTTTTTATCTCACATACATCACATCACAAAAAGTGCTACAGTAAAAATATTTCAAATAACTTACAATCCAAACACACTCAATTATTTGTGTAACAAAACCTTAAAAACATCATAAATCTTAAATGAAAACCCCGAGCTAGTAAAGTACCCCTTTGCTCTTTTTTGTTCAAAGTATATATATATGTACTTCTATATTACTTTGCCTATTCCAAGAACTACCAAGGTATTGTTACCTTCCAAACTATTTATGATAGCACCATCACAACTACAAAATTACACTAGATCCTAAAAATAGTAATTGTAAAGAAATGCACTATTTTCAATTCCATTCTATACGTATAAAATTAACTTCGGCCCTATTCTTTTACATCTCTTATCAACCCAATGACGCAAGTCTTCGAGTTATGCAAAATCATTAAAAGAAATAAATCAAAGCCATATCAAACGAGAATATCACCTAATCATCTTAAAAGACAAACCAAATGAGATTGTTGGAAAAGTAGAGGAGAAAAAGTATTTTTGTTTTTTATTCTTTAAGTTTTTTGAATTCTATTTGTTTGACATGTAAATTATAACTTAAATAAGGATTAACATACTCGTACTATATTAAACGAGGTAAGTGATATTTTAAAACTTATAGGGTGTCAAATAATATTATGAAAAATCTAAAGGGAAGTTTAGGAGCAAATCGGACAGCAGTAGCCATTAAACGCTCCAGAACGTCACAAAACCCAGCCTCTCCCGAAAAGAAAAAGAAAGAACCTTCAAAAACCCCCAGCAACGACACAAACCCTAACTTCCCCCTAATCTCTAATCCTCCTCCCTCCATACCCAAATCAATCAAGGAAAAAGGAAACCCTATCCCCCAAGCGATCCGTCCCAGAAGCTATGTCGACGAACACGCCGAATCTAGAGTGCCGGATGTACGAAGCTAGATACCCGGAGGTCGACCAGGCCGTCATGATACAGGTCAAGAGCATGGCCGACAGCGGTGCTTACGTGTCTTTGCTGGAGTACAACAACATCGAGGGTATGATCTTGTTCTCGGAACTCTCTCGTCGTCGGATTCGGAGCATCAGCAGTCTAATAAAAGTGGGTCGAATCGAACCCGTCATGGTTCTTAGGGTTGACAAAGAAAAAGGATACATCGATCTCAGCAAAAGAAGGGTTTCTGAAGAGGACATTCAGGCTTGCGAAGAGAGGTACAATAAAAGCAAGCTTGTGCATTCCATCATGCGCCATGTCGCCGAGACCATGAAGATTGACCTTGAGGTATTTTGCTCTTAACAATTCGATACATTTGTTTGGCTTTGGCTATAGAAATGCGACGTTTTTGTTTGAGGCGCTTTTGGGCTTGTTTAACTTCTTTTAATTTGGGCGAGAAGCGCATCGTCGAATTGGTATCTTTAATGGGTTCATTTACTGAATTTTTCTTCGCCTTTTATTTTTTTTGGGGGGGGGGAGAGGGGGTGCAAAGGAGTTTTATGGTTGATTTTAGCAGTCGGTGTAGAGGGGTGGCTTAAGTTTGAGATCTTATTTTTCTTGAGATCAGATTTGTGGTTATTGGAAATTATTGAACTATTTACTATACTAACACTTAGCAGCTTTGGTGGGATATGAATTGCAAATCAATTGTATAATGTGATGCTCTGAGATTGTGAATAGTGTTTTACTGGACTGGAATTCTTGGCACAAATAATTAGTGATTAGATCAAACTCTTATCTGATAAGCTTCCTCTACTCGGGTACCCTACTTGTGCAGAAGAAACAACTGAATTAACGAATCATTGCAGTGGACAGGGGGAAAGAAGATGGTAATTGTAACAGTAAGTCAGGTCCTACTGTTAGGTAGCATGTCAGCCCATCTTGTGTAGTGAAAAGACCTTATTGACGTAAATTACTTCTGAAATGTTGAACTTCTTTTGTCTCTATACTAGTGTTCTTGTCATGTGTTTCGAGAAGCTTATGAACTATTAATGATGCAAAGTGACTAGCTTCTCTTGCAACATTTTTCCTCCTTTGCATTCCTTTTTTTATTTTTTTTAAAAAAGGTTTTAATGTATCACTTTTGTTACAGAATTCAAAAGTAAGATGAAATTGTGTGTGTGTTTTGCGATACTTTCTCATCTTCATTTAAGTTTGCTATTTTTGTAATGCAAATTGTTCATGGCAGGATCTATATATTCATGTTGGCTGGCCTTTATACAGAAAATATGGTCATGCTTTTGAGGTAAGAGTTTGGATGGCATCTTGACGGATGTATATTGTTTCTTAATGTGTAAGTGAATTTGATGTTTGGGTATCATTAATTAATGTTGCAGGCATTCAAATTGATTGTTAGCGATCCAGATTCAGTTCTTAATTCCCTTACTCGTGAAGTTAAAGAAGTTGGACCTGACGGCCAAGAGGTAGTCCCTGCTCAGTTTTCAGATTCCCCATCCTACTTCCTTCTTCATAATTGTGACTAGGGATTTTGTCTTGTCGTCATTCTGTAGGTGTCTAAGGTGGTTCCTGCCATCTCAGAGGAAGTAAAAGATGCGTTGGTGAAAAACATTCGTAGAAGAATGACACCACAACCATTGAAGATTCGTGCAGATATCGAGATGAAATGTTTTCAATTTGATGGTGTTCTTCACATTAAGGTCATATTGCTCATCTCATCCAGCATCTTTCTCTATGCTTAAAATGTCATTTTAAGCAAATTATCATTCTACTGTGCAAAACTCTTTACTCCAGAATTAGGAATAATTATAATTGGTCTTTCACTCCACAGGAAGCAATGCGTAAAGCTGAAGCTGCAGGGAACAAGGATTGCCCTGTTAAAATTAAACTTGTTGCTCCTCCAGCCTATGTTCTCAACACCCAGACCCTTGACAAGGTATACTAATTTGGTAATTTGCTGTTTGTGTGAAATATAGCATTGTTCAAACCATCTTTATGGAGTAAATCAGTTAGCTAAGGACATGTTGTGGTCTTATTTATTTTCAGATACATCTTTGTTAAATCATTATGCATGTCTAGCTATGTGTCGGCCATCATTTATGGCGTTAAAGAGAGGAGCAAGCAAATACGCATCTGCTGATTGTTTCTACCAGCTATATCCATACTTTGCATTCTGGGGTGGTTTTTCCTGTTTAATTTGTGGCCTTTAAAAGTTAACTAATTCTTAACTCTACACAATTTTGTTAATTACAATAAATTCAATGATACATGTAGTCAAGACTCTTTTAAAAATCTATTTTCCAAAAGTTATACAGCACAATTTTACAATTCATAGCATGATAGTGTATTCAACAGTACTGCCGTATCTTTTTTCTCGACTTTTTAACCTCTTGACACATTTGCTCATGAACAAATGTTTTGTTTGTTTCTAGTTTTTGAGTTTTGTGTGTGAAGCTTAATTGGGACAAGAATAGAATTCAGCACGATTTCATCAGGCACTATCATAAATAAATGAATGATTAGTAATTATAGTTTTTAAGATTTAGTATGAATAGAGAGAATTGTTCAAAAATTAGGGAAAATGACGATGCGGTAAGAACAGAGAAAAAGTGAATTAATAGCTATTTCAATATCAAACAAGTTTCTGCACACGTGTAGAGGTTGAGCATGACCACTTATTCCCACTAATTCTTTTGTGTGTATTTCATACTGCAGGAGCAAGGGATTGCTATTCTCTACAAAGCAATTGACGCTTGTACTGAAGAGATAGAACGCCACAAGGGTAAACTTTCTGTTAAGGAGGCACCCAGAGTGGTGAGCATCAATTTTTTTTCCCTTGAATTTTGCGTCATGGAAATTTAAGCTGTCCTGATCCTGGAATTGTATATCATAATTTCTTCCAGTTCATTCTCTACCTTGTTTACTATCTTCTATATAATATGTGATGTGGTTCACTTTTTAGGTGAGCGAGCGGGATGATAAATTGCTTGCCGAACATATGGCTAAGCTAGGTCATGAGAATGAGGAGGTTAGCGGTGATGAAGATAGTGAAGAGGAGGAAGATACTGGAATGGGAGAAATTGATGTGGAGAACTCTGGACATGGCATAACAGACTAAAAATGCTGCCCGTCTATGCATTGGCCTTCTCTTTCTTTTTTCTTGCCTCATCTTTTCCAATTGAGCGTTTGAAGGAGTGTATATGGCGACAACCAGGATTCTAAAAATTTTTGTTTATTGGACTAATGCTCTTCGGCAGTTTTCGCGTAACGGTGTTAGATAGTATAGTGCAATGGCATGTTGTCTCTATTGTTTTGCTTAGTTGCTCATTCAAGTTGTTTTGGTCCTGGCTCTGATTTTTGTCATTCATATGGTTGGGACGCTTAACCTAGGATTAATCATGGTGCGCCTTGTTTTTCAGTGTTTACGAAGTGAGGAGTGAGCTCCATTCGTGAAGCCTAGCCTTGTTAGGCTGCGCCAGGTATACAAAGAACGCGGGAATCAAGATTTGTGGCTACTGACTATTGTACAAGCGGGGTTTTCCAATTAACACGGAAGGAATTATAAATAAGTTGATTAGTTGGTAGTGTCATAATGCAAAACGGTAGAATAAGAGTTCGGATCTTTAATGGCGAAACTAATAACAGAAATTAGAGTTCGGGGATTTTGAGGGTGAAACTAAAAGTTGAAACTTTGGTTTTTAGTAAGAGATTGCAATTGAAGGCAATGACCCATTAAGCAAGTAGCTGCCTGACTAAGGTTTCATTAGGGATTGGGGTGTTTTTGATAAAAAAGAATATTTTTGGATACGAAAAGGAGTTTTGAGGGGGGGTTTTTTTTTTTTTCCCAAAAGTTTTGAGGGGTTTGATGAACGTTATTCTATAAAAAATTATGAGCGGAGTTTTTGCTGTTAAAAATATTTTACTAAAAGTTCAAATGTGGTGTTTTTAGAATAATTTTTAAGATTTAAAAAATAAAAATAAAAATTTAATCATTTTATTCTATATTATGAACTAAATAAAGAAATAATTCTATTTAAAAATTTTTAAATTACACATTATTTCATATAATAAGTATTTATTAAATTATATATTCAAATAATATACTTAAACTTAAAAGTATTTAAACACTTAATAAGTACTTTGTCAAAAAAATAATAATAATAAGTACTTTGTCAAAAGCTTTATTAGTAAAGTGCCTTTTTATAAACTATTGTAATTTCAAACAGACCCTATGCATGCAGTCCCACTAGCATTCTGACTTATGCTATTGTACACATTTATATTTCAATTCAAAACAATACTTATATATTATAGTATAGGATAAAATATTTGAAAAAGGCAAAAAAAATTCAAAGCAGTATATGCTTAACATGTTTAATAAAAATGTTTATTTCATAAGTACAAAATGGACTTTCTTCCTTTTAATATCTTAAATAAGTTAAAATCAAATTTTTTTAACCTATTGTCTGTCAATATATGATAACAATTTAATAAAATAATTTAATTTAAAATGATTTATATGATATAGTAATTGTAGACTTATTTATCAATATATCATGTTATACCCACATATTAAAATTTTTAACATTAAAAATATCAAGTATAACTAATTCATTTTCCTCAATTTTAGAAACTTTTCTCTTATCTTGTAATCCTAAAATTGTTGAGTGCTTATATAATAATGCTCTTTGTAAATTTTAATATAAATTTAAAATAATATCTTTGTAAGATGTGTTTTTAAAATTTTCAAAATTATTAAAAAACTTTCACCATTTCCATCCTTTCTTACCTGCTAATTGGTTATCTGCGACTTTCTATGACTTTCAGATCTCTTATCACGATATCATCTTTCTTGTCGTAACCTTGCAATCTCATTCTTTCTTCTCCTTTCTTTTCGTCAAATCTTGTACTAGTTTAATTTCATTTTTTAATTTTTCGCACCACTCTGTTAACTTTTTGCTATTCTCTTTCTCTCGTTTATAGCTAGTTTCTAACTTTCTATCTTTGCCACCCAATTTCCTATTCTTTTTGCGTCACCATTCTTCCAAACCCTATAAATCCATAATTTGTTTTTTAGCCTAGTAGTACTTTATTTTCTATTTAGTGATTTCATGATTTAGAATTCACAAATGGTACCATTATTGATATTTTAAATTCATGACCAATGAATATTATTTTTTTTTGTTTTCTATATAATTTGCCATTTTAATTAGGATTACTAAGTTGAAGAGTAAAATATTGTTATTTACTTTTTTACTTTTAGTAGGGTTGGTGTTTTTTCCCTTTATTTATCCCCACATTAATAAATTTCAAATTAAATTCCTATGTAAGTGGGCTATTTCTTACTTTTAAATTCAAAAGACATGAAAGAATATATAACCATTAAAAAAAATTTTAATTCTATAAAAAAGAACGAGGAGTTATAATTCTTATTTAACCATTCAAAAAACTCTCCTTGTAATACATATAGATATAGATGTATGATATGTTGTTGCGGGAATAGCCAGCAAGAGAAAACACATGAGCCAACAAAAAATTTGCTTATTCAAAATTTAAAATTTTATTTAAATTTAACTTATTTATTTGCTTGAAAGCTACCAAATATAAAATGCCGTTCAACTTTAATTTTGAGCAGTCGACGAAGCAAACTCAAACTAGTTTTTAACAAGCCAAAGCTTGATAACCGGTTTTCAACAAAGCCAAAACTTTTTTATTAAAATAGTATGAACCCAACTCTGTCCACCTGCAATGCAGGGAAGGACCGCGATTTTCACAACCCGCCGCCACAGAATGCAGGGAGGGAGTAAGGGAGCTATGCCCCTCCGACAGATTCACTCAGAAGAGGACCCCACTTGTCACCTCAAATAACGACATTTCAAATCTTCCTCCCCCAGCCAGCACTGCAGTAGACTAAGCATCCCCATATCGGATCCCTTTTTACCTCCTTTCCCTCCGCGTTTCCTTTTCACCTCCTCCTTCCCATTCGAATCCTCTTTGACGCCGACGGCCCCCGCCCGCCCCCACCCCACCCTCATAATTCATAAAGATCCCAATTTCACAACCACCCCATAAATATATTCATTCAATTGGATACTGCATATCCACCGTTCCACTCTCTTATAGTAATTAATCACCAAAAGCCCCAAAAAAAAAGGGCAATAGCAACAATGCAAAGCCTCCTGAAAGAGAGAAAATACCCATTCATATTCCTCCTCTTCGTATTACTGATCGTTGCTGCTCTTTTTCTCATCTCCAATTCTCAGTCCCCAATCTACATCACCTCTGGCGATCTCACGCCAACTCAAACTGCGTCCCTTCCAAAATCACTTCCTTCAAAAGATGCAGCTGCCCCTCCCATCGATAGCTCAATAGTAATAATATCCACTGCCCCACCATCACAGAATCAAGAGGATTTTGTCAATAGTAGCAGTAGTACCCCGAGTGGTGAATATGAGTTTAAATGGAAGCTGTGTCAGGGTTCTGGGGCTGATTACATACCCTGTCTGGATAACTGGAAGGCCATCAAGGCCTTACCATCCAGGAGGCATATGGAGCATAGGGAAAGGCATTGCCCCAACCCCAATCCCACGTGTTTGGTGCCTCTGCCCAAGGGTTATAAGATTCCAGTTCCGTGGCCGAAGAGCAGGGACATGGTGAGCTTGTTACTACTTTGTTGGTAAGATTTTTTTTTTTTTGTGGTTCACTCTCTCTCTCTCTCTTTGTGGGGTGGGCTTTTACTTTCTTGGATCGAGCTGTATTGTACGATATTGGAAGTTGGGAAATCTAAGTTGAAAGATAAGATATTGCTCTGCTTTTCGATAGTGCCTTTAAGAAGTACTGATTGATGATGGACCAAAAAAAAATGGCACTGATTGATTGATCCACAAGGATGTTGTTTACTTACGTTTCAGGTAAGATTTAGCTTTAAAGGAACGTACACTTAAAAGTGGCACTACTTGTAAAAATATTCATGTGCATGTTCCTGATTATGTCAGAGGTCGTATTATAGCAGACGCGGTTTATGGCAAAGAAACGGCGCTTTTAAAATAACTCGATTTCGCTTATTTGATTACTACTAGACAACCTATTTATTGATCCGCATTTTATACTTGGATTCCGAGGCGTGGTTTAATAGAGCGAACCTGCAATGCAAGCTGCTAAATTTTAAATTTTTTTTTTTTTTTTTGCATATCCTGTAGAAAAATTCAAATACTTTGTAAATTTGTTTACTAATTGCTTGTCTAAATGTTCTCCCTGCTTGCGTGTAACATCTTTAAGCCATTGGGAATCGAAACTCATACATCATGAGACTAAGCCCAAACATATCTAGTCTAGCAGAAACAATGACATTTACCAATTAGTGCCCTGGAATTCTCTTATTTCTTTGACTTCTTGGCCTGCAAAGTTTGTGTAAGAATGAATAGTCTTTGAGAAGGACAGAAAATGTAACTGCAGGGAGAGTAATAACTCTTATAGTTTGATCTGTATTAATTCTATTTCCGTGAATGAGGCTAGTGGAGTATGCTTTAGCTCTTTAAATTGTGACTGCTAATGGATACATCTTTCAGTTTTTAGATAGTGACTGTTCTCAATTTGTTGGACAGATATGGTATAGCAATGTTCCACACCCAAAGCTCGTTGAGTACAAGAAGGACCAGCGTTGGGTGGTGAAATCTGATGATTATTTTGTTTTTCCTGGGGGTGGTACACAATTTAAAGATGGAGTTGGACGCTACATTGACTCCATAAAAAAGGTAACGCATCAAAAGATCTGCTCTAGTTTTGCAGGGTGAGAAATTTTATTCTATCTGCAATTGGATGGGAAAATTCAATTTATGAGTATGTATCTATTAAGAATGCTGTTTCTCGAGGCCTCCATACGATGGTCATAATAGCCACTGTTTCCTGTTTCACGTTGATTGTCATCAGTTTATACAAATGGTTTCCTCCTGCATAATGCCCCACCAAGGTGAGTATGTATCTGCAATTGGATGGGAAAATTCAATTTATGAGTATGTATCTATTAAGAATGCTGTTTCTCGAGGCCTCCATACGATGGTCATAATAGCCACTGTTTCCTGTTTCACGTTGATTGTCATCAGTTTATACAAATGGTTTCCTCCTGCATAATGCCCCACCAAGGTGAAAGCCAAAGAGAGGCTTGAGCGAAACTGAAACTCAGATTTGCAGATTCTGATGGTAGTGTTAGCATTTGATTGCAATGCATACAAACTGTTTTGCACAGTGGCAACTATGCAAACTATATCAGAATCAGATAACTGAGAGCAATTAGATTTCTTTCTGGGCTTCCTTGGTGTATGATGTAGAGTATAGGTGGTGGTGTTTCTCTCATTATGAAGCTGAGGTTTTTCTTTGGTATGTTGCATACTTGGGGGAACAATTGGTAAAGCATGAAAAAGAGTAGTGATTTCGATTCTCTATATTTTCTGGTCAGAATAAAGCAATAGAAGAACGCATCAATGTGATTTGCTGTGTTATATTTGCTTCACTACTGTCACTCCTATTCCAGAATTGATTCTTTACTTTCTCCAGATTCTACCAACTATTGAGTGGGGAAAGCACACTAGAGTTGTTTTAGACGTTGGTTGTGGTGTTGCTAGTTTTGGAGGTTATTTGTTGGAGAAAGATGTTATTACTATGTCATTTGCTCCAAAGGATGAACATGAAGCTCAGATACAATTTGCACTTGAAAGGGGAATTCCTGCTACTCTATCTGTCATTGGAACCCAAAGGTTGACATTTCCAGATAATGCTTATGATGTGATTCACTGTGCAAGATGCAGGGTTCACTGGGATGCAAATGGTAGGAAATTGTTTTATAAAGTTTCATGCTTCTATCCATATTATTTTGATTAAGATCCAATAATCAGGTGATTGAGTGAAACCCACAGGTGGAAAACCTTTGATGGAGCTAAATAGGATTCTTAGGCCAGGAGGATATTTTATATGGTCTGCTACACCAGTTTACAGAAAGGAAGAAAGAGATCAGAATGTCTGGAAAGGTTTACCCTTAACATTATACTTTTGCTATTATTTTAACTTTTTATGACTATTTACTTCACCTGAAATTTGCAAAGGCATACCATATTGTTATCATATAATTCAGTTAGCAGTTTAACAATTGTCATATTTGACTACTCTCAAAAGTGCATACTGGAAAAAAGAATGTTAAGATGCTTACTGTGGTAACAACTGTATCTCATATTATGAGTTTTTACCATGTTTCTTGCAGCAATGGTTGCACTAACTGAAGCAATCTGCTGGACGACGGTGAAGAAGACCTTTTTTGATTCATCAGGAGTTGGTCTAGTTATTTACCAAAAGCCTGTTTCATCTTCTTGCTATGTTAATAGAAAAGAAAATAATCCACCTTTGTGCGATCAGAATAACAGACCAAATAGTTCATGGTACATTTACCATAGTTTGATGGTGCTCTCAATTGCTACCAATTGCCATTTTATGATCCTTATCACTTCATCTGAACATTGAATTTCTGGTTAAAGGTATGTGCATCTGGATGGATGTCTTCAGTCACTTCCGATAACAGGCACTGGTGATAATTACAACTGGCCGGCACCGTGGCCTGAAAGGTTAAACAGTAAACCTGCAAGCCTATCGAGTGAACCAGATGCTGAAGAAATCTTCAACGAGGACACAAAGCATTGGTCTGCCCTTGTCTCAGATGTTTATATTGGAGGCCTTTCTATAAACTGGTCAAGGGTTAGAAATGTGATGGACATGAATGCTGGTTATGGAGGGTAAGAAAGTTAAAACGAGAAGGTGTTTCTGTGTTCCACTATATTTAGCTGTTCAGAATCTCAGTTCTTCCTGATCATGGGTTATAGGTTTGCTGCTGCTCTCATTGATCTACCACTATGGGTGATTAATGTGGTTCCAATCAATGCGCCAGATACTTTACCGATTATCTTTGATAGGGGCCTGATAGGATTATACCATGACTGGTGCGAGTCCCTTAGCACTTATCCTCGAGCATATGATCTTCTGCACTCCAGTTTCCTCTTCAGAAACTTGACTCAAAGGTAAAAGCATCATATCTTCTACCATTTCGTGCATAAAAGTTACAAATCAAAGTTCTAAATCATCCATTATCCATCTAAGTTTTCATGCACGCTCCTCCTCCATCTTCGTTGCGAAGTCAAATTTTCTGAGGACTTGTACTTTTTCTGTTTCCACTTAGATGTGGCATCGTAGATGTAGTTGTGGAAGTCGATCGGGTGCTAAGACCAGGAGGTATTTTTCTAGTCCAAGACTCCACAGAAATGATTACCAAGGTTGGCTCAATTCTGCAATCACTGCATTGGTCAATCACTGTACATCAGGAACAGTTTCTTGTTGGGAGGAAAGGGTTTTGGCGCCCTGATGAGAAAAGCAGGATATGAAAAGGCTGCCAAATTTTGTACTTGTACAGTGTTATCATCGATATCCCTCTCCTTTAACTGTCATAAAGAAGACTGTCAGCAAGGCATAGCGGCACATCTTTATCGTGAACGTGAAGCTGTTCATTCATGTTTCTAGTATATTTAAACTGGGTATATGTGATTTTCAAGGTGAAAAAGAGATTTTGATGGTTCAAGTCAGTTTATATAGATGCGAAGCTGAGATTTACAAAGTTACAAGCTTCATTAATTCAAGAGTGAATTTGGGAACATATCATGTTATTTGGCACTTCGAAAATGGGCAAGTAATGCCGTCCATCCGCTCTCCCAAGGGCCAACATACCCTATCGCCACCTACGGCACACGAAAGCTCTTTGCTTGAAGGACTGTCGTCTTGCTTGCCATAAATGACCGCAGACCGCTTATCCTACTTTTAGGTAACGGAAAATCACTCGAAACGCTTCTCACATTTTATAAAATAAAATTTTTTATTATTTATTTTTAAAAATATAATTTTATATTTTTTATAAATTTATATTTTTTAGAAGCAAAATTATTAAATTAAATTTCATATAATTATATATTTTCGTCCCTCATATTTTATAAAAATAAATTTTTTTGTCTCTCATATTTTAAAAAATGAATTTTCTCATCACTCACTTTTATAAAATGAATTTTTTTATCTCTCATTGATCATGTGTACGAATAGTTTCTTTTTTTTTAATAAATTCATGTATATATCTATTTGATTTCACTTAAATAATACGAATATAATATAATATATTTATATTTGATTTTATCTTTAACTACAATTAGCTTATTCAGGTGAAATTAAATAAAAATAAATTATATGCTATTTGTATTATTCAAATGAAATCAAATAAGTATATATATGAGTTTTCAAAAATAAGAAAAGACTATCATACGCATGATTAATGAGAGATGAAAATTTTCATTTTATAAAATGTGAGAGATGAAAAATTTTATTTTGTGAAATATGAATAACAAAAAAATTTATTTTGTAAAATGTGAGAGACTATATATTAGATTTTATAAAAATATATTTGATAATTTTATCCCTAAAAAATGATCACGTGCCGTGTTGCTTTAATGAATTATGATAGCTAAATGGCTTTTAAAGATTCTTCGTCCCTCCAACTCTGTGCATTTTTCCGTCTTTCTAATGACAAATTATTGAATGCATTTGCTTAAACACCGGCCGCAAGTAATGAACTCAGATTTTCTATTTTGGAGTCCCTTTTATCGCGTAGACATCGCAACGGTTCCATTAAGTACCAGTACAATCAAGATACCTATAAGATCTACTACCAATAACAACGAACAGAGCAGCGTTCATTGGGCGAAGGACAAAAGATGGAAAAGAATCACGAAATAAATAAGGGATAATTGCAGAAACCTCCCCTGAGGCTTTTGACACTTGCATTGACCTCCCCTGAACTTACTAATCCTGTGCAAATTCAGTCCAAATGATTAAAATATTATTTTAGGGAGTGAAATTAGAATTTTGTACCTGATTTGCCCTTTGTGCTACCAATGAATGACAAAGTACTACAAATCAATTAACAATTAATTTAAAGTACCGATTCTTTATGAATATGTTACTTTCAAACATTTAATTTATGATAAATATATCAATGTTTGTAAGTAAAATTTAAAAAGTGTTACAGTAATGTTCTTACAAAAAAGGAAATCAGTAGGTTATCTATTTAATATATAATTAAATATTTTAAAAAAATAAATGGTCGATAAAGTATTAATTCTTTGTGACTTCATCCATTAGATGAGTAAAGTATTGACTCTTTATGAGTATTTTATTCTGAATCATTTAATTTATGTTAAATACATAAATATTTGTAATTAAAATTGAAAAAGTGTTACATTAATATTTTTACGGAAGGAAAACGGGTAGGTTTTGTATTTAATAATAATTAAATATTTGAGAGTATTAAAGATTTGAGAGTATTTAACAATAATTAAAGATTTGTATTTACTCTCAAATATTTATTTTTGTTAAATACAAAACCTACTAGTTTCCTTTCCGTAAAAATATTAATGTAACACTTTTTCAATTTTAGTTACAAACATTTATGTATTTAACATAAATTAAATGATTCAGAATAAAATACCTATAAAGAGTCAATACTTTACGCATCTAATGGATGAAAATCACAAAGAATTAATACTTTATAGGCCATTTCTTTTTTTAAATATTTAATTTATATTAAATAGATAACCTACTGATTTCCTTTTTGTAAGAATATTACTGTAACATTTTTTGAATTTTACTTACAAACATTGATATATTTATCATAAATTAAATGTTTGAAAGTAAAATATTTATAAAGAGTTAGTACTTTAAATGGGTAATGTGTATTTGCTCATAAATTACACCCTTTAAAGTTTATTAATTGTTAATTGATTTGTAATATTTTGTCATTCATTGAACATGTAGCACAAAGGGCAAATTTGGTACAAAATTCTAATTTCACTCCCTAAAATAATATTTTAATCATTTGAACTGAATTTTCAAAGGATTAGTAAGTTTAGGGGAGGTCAGTGGAAGTATTAGAAACCTCCGGGATGGTTTCTGCAATTATCCCAATAAATAAACAAGATTCGATTACTGTGAGTGATCGTAGTAGCAGTAATAATTTATTGGAATAATTTCATAAACCTCCCTTGAGGTTTCTAACAATTTCACTCAACTCCCCTCAAGTTTAAAAAATTACACTTACCTCCCTTGATATAGTAAAATACCTATAATGCCTTCCACTTGATAGACAATTTTAAATTTAAGGCAATAAATTTACAAAACTCAAAAAAAATTTATTTTTTTGTCTCTTATCTATTTTCGCTCCTATCTTTTCTAATTATTATAACCCCTTTTTATTATTTCCAATTTTGTGGATATTAACAAATTAAAATTACAAAATCAATAAAAAAGAGCAAATTATATGTCAAATTAGAAGGAAATAAATAGACTCGCAATGATACAAAAATAGATAATGAAATTGATGAGATTAGAAGAACTAAAGATGTAAAATTTATCATATTTTGTTTGTTGTCAAAAAAATCTTTTATAAAATGTCAATAATTACATACGGATTTCTTTTATTGGATTAGAAATTTTTTATTATGATTTTATTATGGAAATAGAATTTATTCTCTACTTTTGAGATATTAATATTTTTAAGGCCATAGGAGGGTTATAATGGCAGTTATATGTTAGACTAGCTTGTATTAAAAAGGTATTTGAGTATTGACATTTAATTGTGGAGTGCAACTGGTTTTCAACGGGTTTGTGTGTGTATTTTTTTCCTTTTTCTTTTTTTGTGTGACAAACATTAATACTGTATATGCAATTTGAAATTTTTTAGATGGTTATTTGGTTTTAAAACTTATGTTTGAATAATTGTTAGGGATTAGACTTTTTGATTTATGCAAAGTATAGAAAAAAATGTTTGAGTATACTATAATTTTCTTTCTTAATTTTGTACAAAAGGGTAATTTAAGATTTTTGTCAGAAAATCTATCTCGTTGAACCTACATTGTTAATAAAAATTAAAAGTAGAGGATGTATATGTAATTTTTAAAATTTAAGGAAAACTCTTTGTAATTGTTAAAAACCTCGAGGGAGGTTTGTGAAATCATCCCTAATTTATTAGGCCATTGAATGCGCCCAAGAAGTGACTGTGTGAATGCACAAGCAGCAATTATTGAGTGACAGAAGAACAGAGGATTTTTCTCAACACTTATTAATACACTTAACTTATATATATACTTAATTTGCTATGTGAATATTATTTATATATATTTTAAATTAATTATACTTTTTTTTCAATAAAAACTAAGAGCTCATTGTTATTTTTTTTAGAAGAATATATTATAATAATTGATGTATGTACAATAAAGAGGTGATTAAGAAATATATTTTTAAAAAAGTAAAAAAAAAAATTTTTGGAAGAAAAATAGCAATCCTAACAAAGCAGGAAGGTTGGTTGAGCACTCGCCACTCGCTAAGCTAAATCGAAGAAACAAAAGATTTCTGACAGAAAATCAATAAACAGAAGAGGGGTCCCACTTCTGGTGGTACCCAGCCAAAATTAAAAAATTAACGACATTTCAAAACCATCCTTCACCAGTGCTTCAGTTACCGCGTCCCTAGTCCCGTTACTAGATTCCAGCTTAACTTTCCCTAATCATCATCGATTCATCTTAGCCTCCATCCCTCAATCGCCTACCCTGATCTGCTGCACCAGGCTCCAGCAACCCTTTTCCCCATAAGGCTCCAAAACCCCCCCAGAAAAGGGGGGAAAAGACAGAAAAAAGAGTCAAGAAAGAACAAAGGGATGTCCATATCAGCCTTACGGAGCCTCCTGAAGGAGAGAAAATATGCCTCCCTACTGTTCCTATTCGTCTTGTTAATCTTCGTAACGTTTCTCCTTATTTCTAACTCCCAATCCTTTGTGTATGATTACACCGGTATAAGCATAAGTGAACCTCAGTCTCCATCCCAGAATGGTGGTAATACTTTCATTGCTGCTAATATGGAATCTTCATTGCCCAGATGGCGGCTGTGTGAGGGTCCAGGGATGGTTGATTACATACCCTGTTTGGATAATTGGAAAGCCATCAAGACCTTCAGGAAATTGGAGCGTAAGGAGAGACACTGCCCCAAAGGACCGAGTCCCAGGTGTTTGCTTCCATTGCCTCCAGGGTACAAGACTCCGGTTCCGTGGCCTAAAAGCAGGGACATGGTGAGATTGATACTCCTACTCTTTGGTGGTAAGGGTTTTTGTTCTTTTTTAGTTCATTTTTTTTAAAATATCATTTGTACAATGTTGAAAAGTTCCATTTTGGATTCAATTTCTAATCTTGACCTTAGTTATGATATTGGGCGAGTTAAGTTGTTGCTCAGACTGGAACTCTCTAACGAGTGTTAACTTCATATTAGGATGGTTAACAGGTTTTTTTTTTCCATTAATATGATTTGTTTGGCTATTAGGGAATGTGCATTTTGTTTGAAGAATCAAGCTTGTATCTATGCACAAGATTTTATTGCCGAAGCTTGCTATTGTGTTACTTCCTAATGACTTTGATTTGGTTGACAGATATGGTATGACAATGTACCTCATCCTAAGCTTGTTGAATACAAGAAGGAGCAGCATTGGGTGGTCAAATCTGGTGAATATCTTGTTTTCCCTGGGGGTGGTACGCAATTCAAGGAAGGTGTGGCTCACTACGTCGAA